GGGATGGGGAAGGTGCCTGCGGCACGGGCGGCCAGCCCGAGTTGTTCTGGGTTCCGTCCATCCATGAGCCCGCTGCCCCACCTGGGCATTGTCAATGAGATAACTGTCCCGCCAGACAGGTAAAATATCGTAAAATAAAATCCCTGCGGAAACAAATGCTGCAGCTCCTGCCCGTGGCTCAACCTGGGCTGCCCCTGGCTCTGATGCCGCAGCCCTGCGCTCCTGAGGCTGGACACCACAAATACACACCGAAAGTGTGCTCAAGGTTTGGTTTTGTTGGTCTTGAAACACAACCCGACGCTGAAATGGGTCTGTGTGCTCAATAAATTGACTGCTGACACCTGGGGTGCACCAGATTTTAACCATAAGTTGTAAGAGTTTATTAATAAAAAGTAATTAACAATGGGAATAACGTCGTTCTAAATGAAAATTATCATCTATATTGATTTATCTGGAAGGAATCTATGTATTTATATCGTGTTGAAAGTAAAAGTAGGGAGAGGAGGAATGTTTCACATACTGGAGGGAGGCAATGAAATTCTAAAGGAGAAAGTGAACTATCTCCCTGATAATTTGAGAACTTAATGCTTATGGAATGACATCGTTTTTCTGGCTGAACTTTGTGACTTTGGGATTAGTGGGGGCAGCATGAATTCTATCTTGGATTCCTGTGGGCATTAATATCTTGTCATTCCCAGTTTGTAAGGACAACATTCCCAAAGAAGCAGTAGCCAAGATATGTGGATTTTTTCTGAGAGATACGAACCCTGACTGATACAGCCACAGCACAGTGTGGGTGGTTTGGTGTTTTGTTCTTTTCTTGTGTGGTTTTTTTGATGGGTTTGGGGTTGGTTTGTTTACTGCAGCTGCAGTTTTACTGGCAGAATGCTCAGCGGGTTCCTGGTGTGGTGTGTGCGCCAGGATTCTCTGCAGCGTTACCACCACATTTGCACAGGCGTTAGCGGCTCCTGCACGAGAATTCCCCCAGTTTGAGTGTGTAAATCACCGCGGCTGCTCCGGCAGAGTTCTCACCTCTCCTCCGTGCTCTCTGGCAGATCTGATGCCTTCCTTTATCCGCCACGGTCCGACCATTCCACGACGAACCGATATCTGCCCTCCCGACTCCGCATCCTCTGCCTACGCGCCCGGCGGCGATGGGATCGTGTCCCGCAACCAGAGCTTCCTCCGAACTGCGGTGCAGAGGCCGCCCCACGAGATAATGAGGCGAGAAAGCAACAGACTGTCCGCACCTTCCTACCTGGCCAGGGGCTTGGCAGAGGTGCCCAGGGAATACGGCTCCTCCTCGCAGTCCTTCCTGGCAGAAGCCGCCCCCGGGCTGGAGAACGGCGACGCCGGAGCCCGCGGCTATTACTACGATCATTTCTACGATGCCCAGAGGAGACGCCTGCACGAGGACTACAGGTATTACGAGCACAGCAGCGATCTTTTCCAGAGGATGTCCCAGAATCATGGGAGGCACACTTCAGGTAAGGATTCGTTGTTGCTTTTGTTAAAATTACGGTTTTGGTGAGAGTTTGGATGATCAGGATTGTGTCTGAGGTGTGTGGGACAGAGCTGCTTTTTCATGGCATTTCTGGGATTTGGGTAATTGGAATTGAGGGTTTGGTCACAGATATCCAGAACAGAAAAATAGACTTAAACCAGGATTATTTTCTTAAATAAATGGAGTAAGGCCAAGCAAGTTTTGGGGTTTTTAATGCCAGGCGTATGTACATCTTCTCTACACATCACTTGCTGGCTAGCAGGGAATTTTATTTATTGGGGGACATCTCCTATTTTCATAATGTAGAGAATAACCAACAACTCTAAATTACAACATTACATTATTATTATGGTTATTATTATTAATAATAATAATGTTAATATTAATATTAATTGTTACTGTTATTAGCATTAAATTTTAACTATCGTCTTATTACTTCATTTCATTGTTTGAATTTGACTTCAATAATTAAAATAATTCCTTACAAATAGTCATAGGGAAGAATGACTGGTTTTTGTAATTAGTAAATTGGCATCTAATTAGTGTTGGCATTGACTCCTTAATCCTTGACTCCTTTCGTTTAGCTTTTAAAATTGTTTGTAAATATGCCTGTTCCCCTCTTAGTTTCACTGGAACTTGCCTTTGTTTCCTAAAACAAAACAACATAAAAAAGAAAAATCCATTAAATACTACTTTTCTGAAATATTTGACTCTGATATTATAAAAACTATGCCCAAGGAGGAGTTTGAAACAAACATTTCAAACCTGTAAATAACATCCCTTCAATATGAAATACATCGTCACTTGTAATCTGTGAACAAAGTAGTAATTAGTGGCTAATAAAATGAATCTCCTGTCTAGAAAAAGAAATCTGCCAGGAAGAACATCAGCTTTTAATGCTGCTGACCTCATGTGTGGGATTAGAACCTGTCAGTGCCTTCTTCATCAAAGAAACACTTCCATGAAAAATGGAAATGCCAACCAGGAAATTCTGAAATGCTGGGCTTTAAGGCCTGCTACTTGAATCCTCCTTTATTTTTCTAAATGTGAATATATCTGATCTACCTGGATTTTGTGTGCAAACCCTGCATCTCTGCCAGGTGTTGCTCATCCAGCAGTCATTAAACATTCACCTGGTCCAGGTAACAAGCACTGGGAGCGTGTGCTGGGATGTTTTAGGGAGGATTTCACAAACCACTTTAACCTTCAGAGTTAAACAGCAGCTGTGTCTGCTGAGGAGATTCCCAGAAAGTGAACTCTAGCTTGGAAGTGGAGATTCATATATCAAATTTTTTAAAGGAACTCCATATTTTGCTCAGTTGTAGCAACATCTTCTTCCTGAATAGATTTTTTTCCCTGCTGTTTGTTTGCCTTAACCCTGGAAATCATAAAGGAGCTGCTCCTGTTTGCTTGGTTTGGTAATTTTCTCATACTTTAACATTTCCTATTTTGAACAAATTCTGCACAGGTTTTGTGGTGGGTGAGTATTTAATCTCATGCACTCGTAGGGAGAGACAAAGGTGAGCCTTTCAACTGCCAGTGTTTTCACTTTCCTCCATTTTTTTTTCATCTCCATATGAGCTCCTAAAGTCCTCTTTTCCTTTTTCTTAAAGAATTATGTGGCCCAAAATAAGACAGTTTTAGGTTTTGTTACTTCCTTCATCTCACCATTAAGCTTCTTTTTATTTGAACCATCCATTGCTTTCACACCTTCAGTGTTTTCCTTGAGTTACTCAAATGTCTCTGTAATTCCTTGTTTCTTTTTCAACAGAGCCTGTTGCTTTCACTGTCTTTGTCTAAATTACTCTTCTTTACTCGTCTTCATTGTTGTTTCTCTTCACCGAGATGCCAGAATTGCCTGATGCCTGCAGTTCCAAATGAAAAGTCTGGTTTTTAGCTGGAGTTTGTAAATGCTGCCTTCTCCCCTTTCCCTCCTCTGCCCCCCTCCCTGCAGAGGTGCCCTTGGTCAGTTCTGGTGTGTTCTGGGAGATTCCCAAGGAAATGGTGCCTGGTGAGCACCAGGTGTTCCTGCTTTGCTGCTGTTCCATGGTGCTCACACTGAGGTGCTTTTTGGGAGCAGTCTGTGAGTGAAGAGGTGCCTGTGAACTTCAGCTGTCATTGAAAACAGAGATCCTCCTCTTGGTGTTTGGAGAGAAGTTGCAAACGTGTTCTTAGCAAGACTTCAGAGTGTTCAGCCAAGTCTGTAGGGCAGTGCTGTGCTTTCGCAGCAGTTGGTGTTTCAGCATTGTTTCGGTGTCCTTCCATGGGCATTTCTCCTTCAAGTCACATTTTCTCTCTCACTGTGATTCACTTCTACCATCTCCTCCTTTCCATATTTCCATTCAGTTTGTTTCTAATTACCAATTCAGTGCTGCTGATTTTCCTGACCAGTATTTTCTGTTGAGATACCTTCTAATTTTGTACGTTTAGCTACTTCTGTGGCATTTCTTAAATTTTTAATTTTTAATTTCTTTTTTTATTTTATTTTATTATTATTATTATGAGTGTCCTTTTCAAACTTTTAATTCTAAGAGACTTTACCTGTCTTTCCTCGCCATCTCTTTCCTCTCTTCTAGGTTAAAGTTTTGGGGAGGTCTGTGGTTGAAGTTATACCTACAGTGTAGATTGGAACTAACTTGTAACCAAGACCTCAGAGTTATTTGTACCTGTGTGAGCGGTAAGCTGAACCATTCTTTGTGTCTATGAAAATTGCTGAGCTTGAAATCAACACTGTAAAGGCACTTGCTGGTGGTGGAGTGTGATGAGTTCACTGGGATGTCACAGGAGAAAAAAACAATTTAACAGAGAATCCAGCGTGCTTTGGGTTCATCTGTTAAGTTCTACCCCTGAAAAACTGCAAACTTGTTTAATGAAAGAGCAAACTAAATACACATTATGACATGAAGCCCATTTACAGCTGAAATAGCCATATTTTTATTTTCCTGTATGTACACTTCTCTCATTTTTAAACAGATGGCAGTTCCTGCCTTTTTCTTCTTTTGTGCTGACTTGCAGGAATTTTGCAGCATAATTCTTGACGCTTTCAGAACTCTTCCTGTCATTTCCTATTTGTGAATTTGTGCTTGCTTGGAATGCCCCATTCCCTCCAACAAAAGAGGTGCTTGTGCTCAGGAAGTTCCTTCAGATGCTTTGGAGTGGGCTAGGAAGGCCTGGGACCTGCAGAGTTGGCTAAACAGGAGAGTTATTGGAACTTTTTATTGGTTTATTATTACTTACTCTTTTAAAATCTAACAGTTTGTTCATCTTCTCTTCCTGCTCTTCACCCTGCTCTGATGAGGGGAAGGGAGAGGATTTTGGCATCCTGAAAAAAGGCTCTCAGGACAACTGGGCTAATTAAAGACAAATACTGTTTTGTAAGATTGGTTCTTCAGCACTTTGGAAATCTGGGTGAAGTCACTTGTGGGGAGTTCCTGGGCTCTGAAATTTCTCTGAATTTTCTACCCAAGTGGAACTTTCTCCTCTGGTTTTGCTCTTTGCCCTTTGTGCTGGGGATGGGATTTCTCTGCTCCCTTCCTACCTGCCCGGAAATCTTTGCTCCAGTGGGCTTGGACTTCTTTCCAGGAGGAGTTCCCTCAGAAAAAAAAACTCTTTTCCTGGGAAAACACTGACATCATTTCCAGTTCCTTTGTTCCTTCCTAAACACAACTTCCCTGAGTGAAGAACACACTACAGATTGTTCACACTTGTGACTTTATTAAGATCTGTAAGAGAATGAATTTTTGCATTGATAAAGGGCACTGGACTGTGCTGCTCAAAGTTAAAATTGGTAATTCAAGACCTTAAATTGAAGATACTGGAATTTAGAAATGAAAGTAAAATTAAAGCCTCAGTTTCAGTGTTGATATTCCTTAAAAGCAACAGCTGAACCAAAAAACACACTGTTATATAATATATTATAACAATATAAACAAAATTAGCAGATGAGGCTTGACGAGCTTGAAAGAGACCTTTTGAAAAGGTTTTACAAATGCATAAATCTAAATTAATCATTGACCCTCCTTGAGATTTGATAGTGCCACTCCAGAGAGTGCTCATCCCTAAGCAGGGGAAAGGAGACATTTGGAAAAAGGGGATATTTTTAACAACTCTTTCTTGGGAAAGCAGGAAGAATGAGAATTTTTGTCTTGTTACAGCTAAAAGACTGTGTGAGCAAGAAAACCCTGAGAGTTACAGTGAACATGCTCAGTTTGTTTTGTGCTAGGGATCACATCCTCCATCCCAGGAAAATCCCAAGTTTCACACAAACTATTTGTATAAAAATTCTTCAGCTTTTCTGTTTGGGATACATAAATCTGGTGCCAGCTCCCAGTCCAGGGAATATCCCTGGTGCTTGCTGGAAAATCCTGTGTGGAGCTTTGGGCTGCTGTGAAAATGTTTTGGGGCTCAGACTTTACCTGGAATTTAAATGCAGAAAATGCCATTGCTGGAAATTTGCCATTAAAGGCACTCCATGGATTTAGGCTGTCCTGGAATTTTCTTCTTTGGGTTATACTTTGGAAAAGATCACACAGGAATCTACTCTTCCGAGTGTTGTTTAGTTGAAAGTACAGGGGTGTGTGTGTATATATATATATATAAAAGTTAATTTTCCTCTTTTCTTACTGTTCAAAACTATAGGAGGAGTTTTTCTCTTATGTGTGTATCCATCATCCCACAAAGGAACATCTGAGGTTTATCAGGAACACCAACAGACAATTTCTTTTGAGCTCTAAAAAGTAATTTTATAGGAAAAAAGATCTAAATTGTACTAATCGTTGATTTTCATGCCACAGTGTTTGATGGCTTTAAGGCCCTTTGAATATCAACACTTTAAATCTTCCAGCACAGAGAATATTCCAATATAATCTGTGATAGAGGGGAAAAAATTATAGTTACAACCATCAGTTTATAAGCCTGGCCTTTGATTTCATGTTCATGGAATATTCTTCAAAACTGTTAATTTCTCCATCTGCACGAGTTTATTGTAATGGTTTGGCTCTGCCTCTTCATATATGAAATGAGAATGGCAAAAGGAATGGATAAAATATTTGTGATCTGGTGTTATTTTTGTTCTTTGCATCTTGGAGATTAAAAACAAACTGGCATTGGGAGAATCCGTGTGTCAGGAGAACTTTAGTGCAGAGGATGGCACCTTTCCAATTGTTGGGAAGCATTAACCTCTACCTTTAGGAAAAATAATTATCTATGGATTTGAGGCCACAATTTAAGGAGGAGGAACTGTAAGAAAAATACAGGCATGTGCAGGTTTTAACAGTAAACAGAAAAATACAGATTTTTTTTCCTCCCCCAATCAAGTTTGTGTGTTCAGCTCTCCTGGCAGTGGTGATTTAACAGTCACTATTTCCACATCCGGGAAATCACATCCCAGAGGTTCAGCTGATGGAGGAAAACCCTGGATTTGTTTAACCCAAGCATTTTCAAGAAGCTGAAATATTTCTATTTTGTCAGTGGCATGAAGGGCTGAGCCAGCTTCTCTGCCCCAGCCCTTCCAAAGGTCAGGAATTCTGCCTCCAGATGTTTCTTTTCTCTGGAATTAAGGTCTAGGTTGTTGAATCCTAATTAAAGATGGACACAGCCATCAGCTTCCCTTTATAAAGCTGACTAACAGGTAAGTACTGACACAAGAGGAGAAATCCTTTAAGGCCAAGCAGTTCACAACATGACATGGCTGAAAAAGATTCATGGATGAGCACAAAGTTTTAAAGGAGGATGTTTGTAAGGGGGGTTTTAATTTATTTTCTATTTATCCAGTTGTTTTGGAGCCTTCCTGTAACTTTATTTTCAACTATTATAATATTCTCTTAGGATATAGCTCACCCAGGTTTCAGGCTGTCATTTTAGATGAGAGAGACTCTGCCTGTCCCTTCTCTCAGAAAACAACCACACAAAAATGTTATTCCTGAAAAAAAGGAGGAGGGGGTGTATTCCTGACAGTAAATGTGTGTGAGAGGTTGATTTCTGACTTGTAAAAAAGTGGGGAAAGTGGCTCCCAAATCCCTTCTGCTGGCTGTGGGAAATGGTAACACACAAACTCTAGTGATATTGGGATTGAATAGATGCATTTGGCTGTGGGATGAAAAGATAATTGGAATGTTCATTAAAACGAGGTAGTGTTGAACTGTGGGACTGTGAGGGACTGGAGGGAACTCCTTAAAATGAATTTTAAAAGAGTTGAATTAAGCCCAGCACATCCAGGAGGCAGCAAATTCCCAGGATGGAAAGAAACCTGCAAAATTCTTGGTTATGTCACTGGGAGTTCGTGGTCGGGTGTCTTGGGGGTGTTTTTTAATGAGTTTTCTGTACTTGCTCCTCTGGCTTTTATTTCTTCCCGAGTGTCCCTGGGGAGGGATGGGAAGGAGCTGTTTCTGTAGGCATCTCTCACCATCCAGCTGCCAGCCTGTAAAAACTGTGTGCTACAACAAACCACATATTCCAGAGAGCTGGTGAGCAGGCTCTTAAATCTAGTGCTGGATAGATCCCAAGTGTGCTCTGTTTCCAGGGAAAAGGTGGGAATTGCATCAGCTGCTGATTCCTGGCAGCTCTTGGACCCCAACCCTGCTTGTCCCTCCTCTCTTGTTCTACCTCATCCTGTTGCTGCTCTTGACTGGTTCACCTAAAAAGCTTTGTTAGGACTCGGTGATTTTTCTGGGTAGTTTTAATTTCTGACTTTAACCTTTTGGGGTTTTTTTTTTGTGATAAATGAACTTTAGTTTTTTTGTTGTTTTGGGGCGGTTTTAAATGTTCTGTTTTTGTTGTTGATAAATGAAGCAGCCATAATTATTTATTAACAGAAATCATAATTTCTGTAAATCTTCCCCTAAACCTCGATCCCCCTTTGTTTTAGGCATCGGGCGAGTTGCTGCTACATCTTTAGGAAACCTAACAAATCATAGTTCTGAAGATTTACCTCTTCCTCCTGGCTGGTCAGTGGACTGGACCATCAGAGGAAGGAAATACTACATCGATCACAACACCAACACCACCCACTGGAGCCACCCCCTGGAGCGGGAGGGGCTCCCGCCGGGCTGGGAGCGGGTGGAGTCGGCCGAGTTCGGCGTTTACTACGTGGATCACATCAACAAAAGGGCTCAGTACAAACACCCCTGTGCTCCCAGGTCAGCCTCCACCTCCCTGCCCCTGGGCTTGTCTCGCTCCAGCCAGGAGCTGCCTTTGTGGCAATACAACAGGAAAAAAATCTTATTTTCGCTTTTGCCGGTTCTCAGTAAGGCTGGTAGGAGAAGTTTGGGGTTTGTCCTGTGTTTTTAAGTTAAAAAAACAGGATATTGCCCCTAAATGAAAAAGCAGCTCTGCAGCTGTCAGTAAAACAGCAGAGTTGCTGGGAAGAGAATTGAACTGTACACTGAAAGGAAGCTTGGTGTGGTGTGCCTGGAGATGCTCTGGACATCTGAAATGTGAATTAAATCATGTCTGGAATGAAAATGGGTATTGCAGGCACTCCTGGTTTCAAAGTAAAATAAAACTAATGCACACCAAATCCAATCTTAATTGTCAGTACACACCAAATCTAACAGTTAATTGTTAATACACACCAAATTAAGAGTTAATTGTTAATACACAACAAATCTAATAGTTAATTGTTACACACACCAAATCCAACTGTTAATTGTCAATACACAGCAAATCCAATGTTAATTGTTAATACACGCCAAATCTAACAGTTAATTATCAATACACACCAAATCCAACTGTTAATTGTTAATACACACCAAATTAACAGTTAATTGTCAATATGCACCAAATCCAGTGTTAGCTGTTAATACACACCAAATCTAATAGTTAATTGTTATAAACACCAAATCCAACTGTTAATTGTTAAATTGTTAATCCACATGGTTAATTTCTGCTGATACCCAGGAAGAGAAAATTCTTCAACTCGTGGCACAAAAGATAAATTTATGGGGCTGTCTTTATATGCAGTAATTCTGCTCAGCTGCTGCCTGAATACATCCATTCTAACATGTTAAATGGTGGAGTGTATGAAACAACACCTTGTAAATGTTTTAAAAACAGCTCCAGAGCTTTGTCCTGCTCTGGTGAGTGGGGCTGAGGTGAATTGCACCAAAACAGCAGCAGCAGTT